TTGGCTGTGTCTTGCTAATTTTAAGTGTTTATTCTGAGTCGGTAATTTAGAATAATGTTTTAATTGACATTTCATCTGTTTCCCATAGTTCTTATTATCTTTGGCGCGACTTTTGAAAATGAGTAGCTTGAGATAACCAATATTTTGGATCAAATTTCATAATGTTCCGCAAATTAATAGCAACCAAAATCACTGTTCATCGATTTAAAACCGTGACAGAACCTTCAAATATACTTAACAGTTTATGACCCCCCCTTACCATAATTGGAAAAAATGAAATAATGGACTTTTGGCAGAATAACTAAATCAATAGATACACTAGCAAATGTACCATCGACTATAACATCAATTAGGGCAATTTGACGAGGTGGTGGTTTAAGGCTGATGCTGAAAGAGAATTTTACACGGAACTTAATCAAATTAACCTCTAAAGAGACTGTTTGTGGAAGAGCTATGGAATGCCGGCAATCCTTCAGCAGAACGATGCTTTAGGCAGTTAGTGGATGTGATTTAGAGTTGTTAAGGCAATAACTGATGCTTCCACACTAAATTCGAATCGAAATCGAATTCTGGGGAAGCTTACCTGTTTGTTGTGAGACTCGATTCAGTTGACCAGGTGAAAAACCGTAGCAATTTACTTCCATGTAATGTGAAGCCTGCACCATATATTTGCAAACCTAAACCGCTAACATTAAAATTGGTAAGGTTTGTCCGAAATGGCGTTCATTGGTAAAACCTCATGGTGAATACGGTAAGTGAAGTGCCGGACGTTAACGTGTCAATTTCAACTTATCTACCTGGGATGTTTAGATCATTCTAACGTGCGTGGAAGTATAATTACTGATTGCAAATAATAATTTTACTACTGGCTCTGGTTTTAAATCAATTGATGTTTGAATAATCTGCTTTTTTGGCTAAAATAGTTTCTCCACTCTCCAATTATGTTTGACTTTAACGAATTTCCCACTAAAATGTGAATACCGTTACCATTGGCGACTGAAATAGGCTCAGATTAATGTGCTGTCTCAATAACGAGAGCTAACAAACTGCCGTATTTGTAGCCAAACTCCAAGCCGTTGGGAACTCTGGAAAGAGACCTTGGTCACTGTTTAGTCCATGACTGGCTCATCATTGTAAAGTGGTGTTGGACGGGCATTGAGGTGTTGAGATCTGTGTCGAGAGAACTGATGTTAGAGACTCATCCGAGGGCTAGTAATGCTGCAGGAGGAACCAAGAAGGGCCAACATGGTGTTAGGTGTTGCCTTGTTATAACTGATAATTGTGTTGCGCCTACAAACTATTCAAGGGAAAAGTTCTTGCGTAGAAGGTGATTTTAAAGTGCTCATAAACACAATGGGAGCCGATCAACCCATACGAATCACTTTATCTAAGTTTTTAGTAACTCTCCCTTAAATGAGAAACAAGTATTCCTAGTGCTTCAACATCGATCGACTGAGATCAGCTTTAATCACTGTTGTTTAATTTGACATTTTACTCCATTGGTTTGTAAATAAAATTTGTGTGTTCAGAATTATGCAACGTACAATAACAATAATACTTACCCTTTGACTTGATATAACTGATCTTCCTTGTAATGTGCGTGTGTGTGCGCGTGTGTACTTTAACGACACGGCATTTCAAATAATTATCGAGTCACGCGCCGACCTTGAAACGCACTTCTTTCAAACACAGGCGACGCCGAAATCCCACCAGATGATGCATTGGGCGATAACACCAAAGTTGTGGTAGGCGCCTTTTCAACAAGTGTCAGAAATATTTGCAGGCCAAACGTCAGAGATTTGACTGCTAACACTGCAGTGATGAACTTCACAAGATATGGAGACGTCTACTGAGATTACCTTATTTTTAAGGGACAATATATGCCTGACGGCTCCTTCCAGATCACTGATGTCATGGAAAAGAGTTAATTTGCTTGCCTTTGACTTAGTAAAATGTTTGCAAAATGAATACCTTTTATTCTGAAGTGTCAGTAATTTTAAAATTCCTATGCGTGTTTGAAAAAGCGCAAGTGTATTTACACAAGCCGCCTTAGCTACATTCGGATGGAACTGTAGCAAAACTTCTAAAAAGCTGTCAGCGTAAATTAGCTTCTCAAACACAAAAACCAAACAGATGGATGGATGGTGGACGTAGGCTTAGAAGAAGTTCTTAATTCCTTTTCCTTCATGTACTCATTGTTCAACAAATGAGAGTTAGTGGATGGGTGATTTATTCAACCTTTCATGTTTGAACACCTGACGAATCTTCCAGATGCCTTGGACTCTGTTGGGTTAAAAAGAAATATGCTGCCTTAACCGTTCGTTTATCCTTCTCTGCCACTGGTTAAACTCACGCACTGTAAGATCTAATTTGATAGGTCAGAATGTGCGCTTTCGCGCCTAAACGATGCGTTCCTATTAATCAATAGATAAAATTGTCTGCCATTGTGAATTTGGTGAATGAACGCACAGGAAACAAAGGGAGCTCAATTGTTCTCAGTGTTTAAGTGACTATTTTCCTTTACGGGGATTCATAAATTCTAGTCATCTTCTGTAATTCGCGTAGACTAAAATTTGCTCACAAAAAAGCCGATGGCCCCTACAAGAATCGGTCCGATTAATAGCCTCCAACACTGATGCCTAAGTGGGACGTTTTGATTTGGTGGTCTCGTGGTGTTGTAGTAGACAATTGTTTACCAGATGACTCGATGTAGTTGTGTGTCGCACCATGAGAATAAAATGTCACGTCTCGGAGGCGATTATTGTTAATCGATACAGTCTAGACGAACTTGTAAAAGCACACGCGGCTGGACGGCCAGACGAACGATATGAGTGGTGATTTGGCCTGATCAATAGGGGCGTCCAGTCTGAATATTCGACGTCTTGAACCAACCCACTGTCTATTAACCCTTGGAAAAAGCACCATGTCCTATGACGTTGGAGTAGTCAAGTCACCGGTTGATTAATCCTCAATTTACGATGCATTCGAGATTTCGTAAGTGAGAATCTTTGAGAAAGGGTGCGATCGTTGTCAATAAACTAACAAGGTTTCAATGGGAGGTACAACGGGGTGTAGCATCGTCCCTTCAGTGATTGGAGAAGCACTCAATCTCACTCCCCGTGCGCCACCCCATCGATTCAAACAATAAAACCAAACCGATCCCACCACAAATGGCTCTTCGTTGTCACACTTAGCAAGGTAAAAAAAGACACTCAGCGTTCCGAATCTCATTCAGGTTGCCATTCTACTTAAAGAAATACTATGTATCATATGGTTTCCTGTGTTCCGTGGTGATGAAATTTGATCCAACTGCTGGATTGGCTACTGGAGGTCTATGAGTTTACGGTCTGGCGATCAGCGAGCAAAGAGGAACTTAATCGACAATCCTCAGTGCACTTCACGTCGCGACATTCGTTCACAGGTCAACGTCAGCTGTCCCCGCATAAACTTACACCTTGCCACGGCAACCGCACTCTCCATGGGGACCTCAACATCGGTGGCAGGCATAATTTTAGCTAAACTACTTGCCGACTGCCTGCGCGCAACTAGAAAATTGACGTGAGCACAATGCAAGCCGTGACTACCACGGAGTTTAGCTAAACACCAGATTTTTAAACTCCACGATGCGCACACACGCGCGACACGAGGACACGACCTGTCTGGAGTTAAAATCCGAAGGCGGCGACGAGAATGTCACTACTTTGTTCAGTTTTAGACACCTGGTTTTAAATCCGTCTCGAAACGAGAGCTGATGTTTGCTCTAAGGTGGTAATCTGTAAACTTAATCCACAGATTCCACAAAATGACGCAGAATACTTGCTGAGAAAGTAAATGCGCCAGTGTAGAGTCTCATATGTATCTTCGCAATATGCCACGGCATCAATTAAAGTTTGAACGTAGATTAAAGCATCCACGCAACTTGGCACAAAGCCCCATTTGAAATGCGAGAGGTATTGAACGTTGATTAGTTTAATTTACAAAGGTGGGTGAAACACAAGACGAGATTTTTTTGATTTTAAGCCCTTTTTAGTGAACCGTGGTGATTCACGCCCACTAACCCCGTTGTCGCCTTGTCACATTCACGACATTCCTATCGATCGTGCATAACCGTCAGTACATACACCCCGGTGCGTGTACCTCCCCCGCCCACGCTACATGTTTTATTCTAAAGACAGTTCAGCCATCCGTACCTCTTCCGGTTTACCCAGACTGTACTCAGACTGGCTCAGAAAGAGCATCGTATTTGGCTGTAAGTTAATCAACCTTGGCGCACAAGGGGCCTTCATCCAAACTTCGTGTCAAATTGCAATGTCTTTACCTCAGGTTTGTGCTTGTATCAATCATAAATTTTGCATTTGCTATCGATTTAACTACCTGGCAGAAGACAGACTTGGTAATCATCCGAAAAATTAGACCTCTTTAAATTGTAAACGACAATCATTGATGCTAGTCCACTAGATTCACCTCGATCATGCGCTAACCTCTGAGGTAAATTCATTTTATCAACATTTGGTACGAATAAATCAACAGCCTGCCCTTTCCACATCGCTCACACATCGACCGTAGTGGACTGTCAGCGATCGCGCGCAAGTGAAGTTCGCCTACCGATTTATTGATTTTAATGACTCATCCCTATTTTTTATTGGTCGCTTTTACCAGTCGCTGGCGTGATCCTGGTAAACGGTCGTCTCCATTGTCGCCTGTCCTGTCTTTGTTCTCGGAATTTTAAGGACGGTTAACAGGCAGGATTGTAAGGCGGCGCCTCTAAACTCCCCAAAGCACTACTGTTCACTGCTGTTTGATTGACACATTAACGATTCAAACTAGTTTAGATTAGAGGCTTAAGTTGTCTGTCAGTGCCGATGGCGGGGTAAACTACGACGACAGCCGAGCACACGCGAATTCCAGAAGGTACCTGATGATGCAGGCATGGGCGCTAGAGGGTTGTTGACCAGTTGGAGAGTTCTGTGTTTACGCTTGCCAGTTCGGACGTCGAAATCTGTTTTGGTACGTGTTGATCCGAACCGCTGCGCGACCACGCGCTGGTTCCCTTTCACAAGAGTAGCGCCGATGCGAAAGAACGCACTTAGCTCCCTGGTAAACACCGCATTATTTGATCTAAAGCGCTGTAACGATTTCCCCCATACTTTCGGCACCACAAAACGCCTATAAAAGACGCCACGGCTGTCTGCGAAGCTGCCGGCCTACCCAACAGAGTTTGGCGAAGCGTCCAAAGTGTGTTCGGCCAGTACCGCCTGCGCAAGCGAGAACAACGGGCCCAATCGACACTTATCATAAAGTTAAGCAAAACTCCGAAGTGAAATGCTCCGAATGGGAAAAAAGCCGAGATTTCATTTACAAAAGAAATTTATAACGCCGGGAATAGAAATACACTTGATGGTGTGTCCAGAGAAGCAACTACAATTTGACGGATTTGTCATTACTGGAATCTTGTAGATCCTTCTCATTAAACGAGGGGCCCTTTTCGGCGCTGGCGTTGCTGTTGCTGGTTTCGACACTCCACGGACTCGCTTCCAGGTCGCTCTCGCCAGTCTCCGGCGTCGTGACCTGCCGCGGGCAGCACCACCTGCGGGCGATGAGTTTGACAACAAAGACGACGAGGAGGTAGAGTGGCGTGGCGATGGCGATGATGACGGGCATCACTGCACCGAGGTCGCCTTGTGGCTGAGGAATCGCGTAGATCAGGAGGAGGACGGCGACGCCGACGTTCTGCACCCCAGTCTCGATGGCGATGGCGACGACGACGGGCCAGGAGCGACGACACAGCAGGGCTATCAACAGGCCCGCCAGGTAGCCAATGAGGGGGAGAGCAGCGCCGACCGGGATGAGCAGGGGGTACCGGGCCATGAGGCTGTAGATCGAGAGGTTCGCGAACGACCCGAAACCGATCACGTAGGTCAGGAAGATGCACGACGTTGGCCGAACCCCACGCTTTAACTTGTCCGCCAGCGCGGGCCGAAAACGCCGGACTAGGAGACCGGCCGAGACGGGAACGAAGAGGTACAGGAGGTTTACTGCGATTGGTCCATAGGGTATTGCGGCGGTGTCGATCGCCGTGAAGAAACGCGAGAATGCGAACAGAAGTAGAGGCAGCATGCCTAAACGAGAGGGACTGTTATTTGGAAGCGTGTAAATGAAGGATGCAGATTCTTGGATATTTTGGAATGAGTGAAATTGTTCTAAATCTGATTTCGAAGTCGATAAAATTGATAAATTTCCGTCTGAGAAACAGAGGGAAAAGCCAGGGAAAAGTGAAATATTTCCATATTTGCATTAAAGCAGCCTTCAGTAAGACAGTGCGACATAAGGAATTTTGACTAGGGAAGTCGTGGAGTCACGACATGATGGAAATCGCCTCGTGTGATTACGCGAAGCACAGCCTGATGCATGGACCGATTAAAACGCAATGCTGACAAGCTGAGAGGAAGAACACGATGGATTCTGACACTGCCAAGAAAAGCAACGCTTCATGACAATCGTCATAGCAAGGCCGTTTGCTGGACGCTCTGGCAGAATCCAAATTCGTTGAAGCTGCGAAACCTGTCAGCGGGTGTACCAGAACTGAAATTAGACGATTTCGATCGGTTTTATAGTCAGATCACTAGAAGTAACTTGAAACAAAAATAGTTCTCACACTGGCTTAATTAGAGGTGGAGAGTAGAGCTCAGGAGGGAAGTGGCGCCTAGAGACGACTACTACAATGGCGAATGGTTTTACTGCCTACATAAATTTGACGAAATCCACATCTTGAGAGAGAGCGCGCTTGTAGTACCTCCAGTTTGGTTGAAAAAAATCAAACAAAAATTGGCAAACGAAACTGCTCTGGCGGAAATCACCAATAAGCGTCATATTTGTCAATAACACGTAAATTTCCAGGAGATGCGGCCATTTTGAAGCGATGCTACGACGTTGATTCGGTCTAGGAGCGCGAATCCGTTCGAGGTCGACAACATCCACCACACAGCCGCACCTTCCACCAAGTACGCATCATGCTTCCTCCACTCATTCCACCACAGCTTGTGCATAAATGGACACAGCAGAATGACTGCTAGGGCATCCGCGAGTGCAATTCTTGGTACCTGGTAATTGTGATGCACAAGAAGGTAGAACAACATAAACACTTTTCCTTACTTCAATTAAAGGCCGAACTTAGAAACGAAGGATTAGGGGCTGGGGCAAGCGCAACTTCTACAACGACCTTCTCTGTGGCGGTAACGTCAGAAAGTGACACGAAACCCAACCAAAGTCTTCAACACCATCACCACAATGAATGAAATTTAGAGCCTGGGATAACTCGATCGTAGTGCCCGCGAAAAACCCGTCCATGTGTGAACCACAACCAGTGAAGGATTAAACTTGGCATACGCAAGTCTTAGTAATGTCAATGCATTGGATTTCAATGCCCCAACGATGGCATTAAGTCAAAAGCACATGGGTGGAGAATTGGATGTGTTTAAGTCAGCGAAACCCGTGCTCCTAGTTATAAAACTGTTTCCGTCACCGCCACCGTTAAGATTAAAGGGGTATTCTGGAAAGTTCCCTCGCATTACAAGTTACCTGCACACAGCCACGTTGCACCGATATTGCGAAACCTACTACACGGTCGGTTGATAACCATGGCAAACACATCCAAGTGAATCCACGTAAACAACTTAAATCAAAAACAAAAAAAGCACACTTGAAATACTTCTTTGTGCCTTCCAAAGTGAGTGGTCGTCAGTTAATTACTCCACCATTACTACAAACCAACACTCAGGGTCAAGTCGTATCTACCAGGGGTCTTGACAAGGGTATTGGCGGAGAATAGGG